TCACCTGGCTCGAAGTGGCCCCTGTAGCGCTCCCTGTCGAAGAAGGTGCAGAAATACATGACTGCTCCTGGCTGCCTGGCCTGGCCCCTCCTCCAGCTCCACCCACACCAGACAAGGTGGGGCAGGCGGGTGCACGGGGCAGGCACAGCCCGGGCTGGGGGGGCGCAGCCCCAGCTCCACGGTGTAAAAGCAGCTGAAAGGCGGGGAGTGGCACCGATCCAGCAGAGCAGAGCCCACGCCACCTCTAGCCCCAGCCTCTGCCTCGCCTTGCTGTGCTGCAGCCCAGCTCCTCTCTGGGCAGGTGTGCAGTGTTAATAAGTTAGTGTGCGGCATGGTATTAAATTGTGCATGGTTGCACACGCACGCAGTTTGGAGGGAACCTTGCTTAGAGGGTACATTAGCATGTACTGCAAATTGGAGCAGTCCCAGGCTTGGTGAGTGGGGATTTTAAGGTGCCTTAAGGTCACATTTGAATTACCCTATAATCATTCAGTGGAGTCAAATTTTGGAGCCATAGCTTAGACATTTCTTTATTCTCAAAACCATGAACATGGCTTTTCATTATTGTATCTAATTATGTAGGAAATTACCCTCATAGCTATTTTCTTAGGATATTTTCATTGCCCTTCCCAGATGCAATTGGACCCTGACTTCAGTGATAGACAGTAAGTCACTAAAAAAAAGTAAAGTGTGTGTTTATCTCCTCAGCACTCTGTGTTCTTCCTTTTTTTTTCTTAAACAAACGTGTGCAACCCCAATTGTTTGGTCATTGTTTTAATGACAGAGTTTTAACATAGTAAAGAAAATTTTAAAAATTTTAAATGAGATATTTTAGCATTGTAGTGGGTTGCAAATTACAGGACATAATGTATTTTAGCCTCTCTGAATGAATTGAAGATAAAACATTATTCCATAAACCCATAATTATTATGATTAGTGGTATGTCTGTTATATATTCAAAGCAATTAAGATATGCCCTGGGTCTTATAAAAGATCTGTTCATAAAAATATAATAGATTTTCCAAAGCTGCTTGACTGAACATGTGTCTTTAGTGCAGTATTTCAACCAGTTAATGTATTCACAAAATAATTTTATATTTTTTCTTTAAAACTTTTTAAATATATTTAAAACATTTATAAACGAGTCCGAGTTTAAATCCTGCACAAAAGGGCCATTCACTCACCTTCCTTAGATGTCTCTGGGATAGCACATGGATGTAAGTTACTGTCAAATTCAACCTGCACTGTTTTTGTATGTGATACAAACACAAGGAAACCTGTTAAAATGAAACCCGTAGCATCCTAATATAACAATCACAGTGTTTTGTTTTGTTTTGTTTTGTTTTTGGAGTGGGGGGGTTAGGTCACATCTGGTACAAAGAGGGGTCTTCGTCTTTGACAAAATTATAACATTTTTTCCCCTTTCTTTTTACTTGCCCCACACTGAAATAGGAGGGAGGACAAAAACAGTCTCCTCAATGATAAATATATGACATAATGGATATTTAGCGTTCATTTAATCAGGCTTGATAACATTCTAATTTAACTCCCATTAAATCCCATGGAAAACATTTCAATATAGCAGAAGCTGGATTGAATCCTGAATTTTGGGTCTGATCAAAAGATACATTTATCAGGAATAGTAATCAGGAGTATAACAGTAATAGCAGTACAAGATTTTGCTTTTATTCTCTACAAAGATATGAGAACTCTTAGAGAGATCAAGTCAGAATATAAAGTCTTATAAGTATACATAAAAAAAGTCTATCAGAATTCTCATCTCTTGAAAATGACTGTTTCCAAAGCATGCAATTCAGAGTATTCACTGAATCCTCCACCTGAGGCTTTTCTAGCATGCCTGTTACCATTGTATCTAACTTTGGTCTACATTCCCATCACTACTGCATTATCATCATCATTATTATCATTTATTGGGTAGAGTGTAGAGGCTGACCAAAAGGGGGCCCCAGTTGACCTGGACACTTCACAAATACAGAGTAGTAAAACATTCCCACCCTGAAAACCTCAATTTCTGAATGAAGAGACAAGTAAAAGCAAAGGAATGCAGCAGACAAGTAGAGTCATCCATGGTGACACACGTTTAGTGCCATGTTTTTGCTGTTTTTTTAACACGGTGGAGTTTTTGTTAGAACGTGATTAAATCAATAGAATGAGAAGAGAAGGAAAGGAGCTATAGAAAAGAAGGAAAGCAAGAGGGATAGGGAAGGAGAGAAAGGCAGAGTGAAGGACAGATGAAATAAACCTAAGGTGAAGAGAATGAGTGGTGGTGGGTAGGAGATTGGAGATTGTCTAAAAGGGGGCTTAAAACAAATGGACAATCATTGTAGAACAAAGGATGTCCAGAGTGGAAAAAACCAGAGAAAACAGCCTGATAAATCATTTGTTTCCTACTACAGTACTTGCTAAGGCTGCTTCTGTGCTTGTTCCTTGTAGCTTCCATATCATTGACTCTCTAGGCTAGATACAGTCAAAAAGCCTGAGGCTGAATTGATGATTCAGTCTTTGCAGGTTAGTCTAAGCTAGGGTTACCATATTTCCAGGTTCAAAAAAGAGGACACCTATCACCGGGGGGGGGGGGGGGGGAGGGAATTGGATGGGGGGACAGTGACATGCCAGTGCCCTGCCCCAGCTCCTGTCCATTCTGTTGCCCCTCACTGACAAGCAACCCCCCCAGCCCTGCTGCTTCCCCTCACTCCAGACTCATTGATCCCAGCCCTGTCAGTGCCCCTCACTCCCAAACAGCAATACCTTGCCCCCACCCCTTGCTGGTTCACCTCACTCCTGACCTGCAGCGCTCTGGCACTGCCAGTGCCCTGCACACCCAACCCACAGTCATTCGTCCCTCTTGTCCCTCATTCCTGACCAGCAGTCCCCAGTGCCCCTCACTCCCAACCTGCCACCCTCAAAACCCCGCCCTGCCAGTACCCCTCACTTCCGACCCACAGCCCCTGCCCCCCAGCCCTGCTGGTGCCCTTCACTTCCTTGCCCCCCAGCCCAGCTGCCAAAGCAGGTCCCTCATTGCGTGCATGCTCACTTGCTTGCTTTCTCTCTCCCTCTCTCTCTGTGTCACTGTCTCTACCTGGCTTGCTGGAGCCCGTGCAAGGAGCATGTGACCCCCGACGCCAATCACCTTGCCCCCTGCTCCCAGCCAGAAGCAGCCAGCCAGGGATTGCAGAAAACCCAGACATTTTTTATTTTGGTCTTATTTTAAAAACCTGCCTGGATGCAGCACAGGGGTCCAAAAAAGGGACATGTCTGGGAAGATGTGGATATATGGTAACCCTATCTAAACTACGCACATTAAATTGAAACAGAAGTGAACAGACATTTACCTTTGATTCAGGAAATGCAGCCACATGCCTGGAGTGGCTCAGGCCAGAAGCCAGAGGGGACTAGAGCACAACTCTTTGGCTGTATGTTAACTTCCTCTTCCTGTTGCTCTTGAGGTCTCTGGGATTTGCAGTCCAGAATTACAGCAGCAGGACTCTGCAGAGTCTCTCATCACTTCCTCTTCCTGCTTCCAGGTGCCTCTGGGTTTTGTAGTCCACAGTTGCAGCCAGCAGTAAGTTTGAGTGGGGGAAGGGGTGTTTAACCCCGCACCCCAGACCCCAGCCAGGGTTTTCCTTGGGGGGAGGTGGGGGGCAGTCCTGCCCCACTCCCCAATAGACTGGGCTGCATCCCCCACTGGGCTTGTTCCCCCCCACCCCCTTGTCAGCCAACCCTCACTGCTCCAGCCAGGGAGCAGAGGGGTGGGGCCAGGCCTGCTGTCTGGAGCAGGCAGCATAGCCCAGTCTAGGGCTGGAAAGCATGCTGGGATGCTGGGGGACTGTGATTTAACTTGAACCAGCAAGGGGTCTGGGAAAGAAGGTTCATAAACCAGTTTGACCCAAATCAGCTAAGGCTGATACTGCATTTAACTAGGTTTATCTCAAACCAGTTTCAGGCATTGTGAAACTGGTTTATGTGCACTGAACATCTATTCTGTTACAGGTTTAAACTTGTTTCTTATCACTTAAACCAATTCATGTGTACCTTCTGTCCTTAGCCCTAGGGAGCAAATCCTTGTCCATGTGGCAGTATGGCCTGGAGAGGTAGGATACTACATGTGATCTCAGGTCCTCTGAAGAAAGTCAACTTAGTATTTTTCTAGGTGAAAGGGAGATCCCAGCTGGCCTCTAGTTGATTGGGAGTCTAAATGCTATTGTAATTAATTTTCAGAGATGTAACTGGGCACCTGAGTGCAGCAACTGTGCAATGTAGCTAGTGCTGGAAGTACAACTGCTGCTTTTTTTGCACCCCCCTCCACCAACAGTCGGCACCTAGACGTACTACCAATAGTCCCTGTCCCCCATCTCCCAACCCCTCTCCTCACTTTGTTGCACTACTGTGTATTTTGCTGAGTTGTCTGTGGGGACTGGATTGGGAACTCAACTAAAAGCATGAGAATCCATGATTTGGTTATCATTAGGACCAGCACACTCTTGATCCTGTATTGTTTCGACTGTGCTACATTACTATGGTACAGATAGTTATAAATAAAGATGGATGATTAGATAGCAGCACATCATCAGCACAGTGACAGGCGCATGATGCTTTGTATTATCATAAAATGCAGCGCTCTACTTTATATTCACAAACTCTAAAAACAACTGTATGTAGAATAATTATATGGATTTCCTTGGGTCAGATCCTAGAGCTCTATATGAAGAAATTAAATTATATACTTACCCATGCAGTACATTTAAGGGATATACAGCTTCTCTTATATTATCATACTCTTTTGCTGCCTCATGTACTTGCACAAGTCAGCCAAAATGAAACACTGAAGTTTCTGTGCACCATGGATTTTTGAAATTGTTGTCTGTTACACCTGTTACACTGTTGCAGGTGGATTTAGTAAAGATCAGCACAAGGGTAATTTATGTTTTAGGTTTATCTTTAAGTGTACATAATAAGAAATTGCCTGTTTTTCTGCATAGGTGCCAGTTTGCGTGTTGACCGTAATAAATACTTCTGGTTTCATCATTCTCAAGGGGACACAATGACAGTTCAAGATCCAAGCCAGATGAATCTCTGTGCTGCTGTTTGGACTGTTGTCTCTTATGTAATTGCTGACATGGAGGAGAGGTTGCCAAGGTAATAAAAGAAGCAAGAAGGAAAACGTATAGTCTTCAATGAAGGCTGTGAATCGAGTGATGCATATGGTCTACAGATGTAGGAAATTCCTTATTCATCCTGATTTTTGCTGATTTTCATTCTGTTCTTTGACCTCAAAGCAGATTTCTTTTACATAGTTCTGTTTGTTTTAGCTGGTTAAATGCATTCCATTTGTGATTCTTATTTCATGTTTTTTCTAGTAAGTTTTTTATCAATTAATCAATGCCTGATGTCTCCCCCAAAATATACTATATTATAATATTGTATAATAATTATCTATAAATAAGTGATCCTGTCTCAGAAGGAAATACATTCAATAAATATGCTGTATCAGAATAGTTGCTGTGCTGTGCGTGTGTAATATGTTAGGGGTTTTTTTCTGTCTAGACATTAGAATAATGTTAGATATAAAAATGCTCCCATGCTTCCCTAGTCTTTAGACTATAAATCAGTACTTTGATAAGTCTTAGTTCTAGTACAAACCAACTCTTGATATTATAACTTGTTTAATGTCTTAAAGATTTGATAGCTAAAATATTATAGCTCTGAAAAATGTCCTAATTCATATAATCCATATTGCAACTTCAGACACAATTCACAGTAAAGCCTTAAACTGATTGGAAAATGCTGTTCACTGCACAATTCACTGGAGAAAAGCCAAGGCTTATGTGATTTAAGGGAAATAGAAGAAATGGTGGGAATTATATCAGCACCCCTGGCTGCAAGTTTGTGTAGAGAGAAGTAGTTAGCGTGTTAATTTGAAGTCAGGCAGAAAGCAGGACAGGTTTGCATCTTATAGACTAAATCAGAGACACACAGCATAAGTTTTTGTAAGCAGCACCTTCATCAGATGGTGTGAAGGGACTGTAGAAAGCAGAGCTTCTAAATAGAATACAAAGGGTAGGGAAGGGAGAGGAAAAAGAGGCTAGGGGGGGAGAAGAAAGAAAAACATTTAACTCATGCAGGGTGGGTAGAAGAAAGAAAAACATTTAACTCATGCAGGGACACAAGGGTTATAAAAACTAATAGAGGTAATGGGATAAGAATCCATAATCTTGGTTTAGACCATACTTAACACAATCCAGTCTGTAGATGATTTCTTCTTCCACAGTTTTCAGTTCAAGTTTGTTTTTAAAGGTTTGGTGTCTAAAACCAGCCACTCTGAGGTTAGCAATTGAATATCCAGGGAGGTTAAAGTGTTCTGCCACAGGCTTGTGTGTCTTTCTGGAACTGTCGTCAGACCAGTGTTTATTCATTTTGGTACATAAGGTTTGCCACATCTGTCCAATGTAGATGGCAGAGGGGCACTGTAAGCAAGTGATGGTATGTATGACATTGGTCAAGGTGCAGGTAAATGAACATTGGATGTTACAATCCATGGTAGTTGGTCCAGTGATGATGTGGTCTGTGTTGATGAGGAGGCACAACTGGCATCTAGGTCTGAAGCAAGGTCTGCTCAGAATGGGAGTTAGGTAGTGTGTTGCTGAAGGGATGCTATTTGTGGCTGAGGGGCTGCCTATAAGCTAGGACAGCTGTGTCCCCTGTGGCTACCTTGAGAAGGTCATCATTTTCCAGGAGGAGTTGGAGGTCATTAATGATAGGTCTAGGTTGTTCAAGCTGGTAATTGTAGGTGACAGCGAAAGGGATTCTGTCGTCCTTGCTTCAAGACTAGTATTATGGCAGGTCAGAGAGGGATCTGAATCTGGCTGTGTTCATTTAAATGGCTATAGGGTTGTATTTTAATTGTAGATATCTCTGTTCCACCTCCTTCAGTTGTCCTTCTGGATAGTAGGATCCATCTGCTAAGTTTCACAACCTGGGTTTCTTTGGGGTTCCAGCTACCTCCAAATGTATGGGCAACCATAGCTGTCGCATGTGCTTTCAGTCATTTTCACTTGGAAAGTAGATAGTTCTGATGTAGTCTTTACCATATTTATCTACACTGTTTTAAGTGCACCAGTTTCTTAAGCCACACACTTCAGGCAGAGAAGGCATTGCAACTGGGCTCAGTATTTCTCACTCTGCTAGTTGGTATGTGGATGACATTTAAAGTAGTCAGTTTTGATTTATACCACCCTCAGTGGTTTGAGTCTATGTGATGCCTGTCTCCGCTGCAAGAACCGATAACTTGGTATTGTCACTGAGGATGAGAGATGAATTTTTGAATTAGCTTTCCTTATCTCCTATTGATTCTTCCTTTCTCTGCCTGACCCACATTCCAGTGGCACATTTTGAGGATTAGGAGGAAAGGTAGTGAACTTGAGAGATACTTGGAGATGTGCTTTCCTTGTCTTCAGCATGTGTAGTTCATGTCTTTGACAAGTGCTTTTGATTTGTATTTTTTGTTTTGCAACAAGGTTAGCAAATGTTATGCATGGACGCAACAGCATCATTTCCAGTTGCTATCAGCCATTCCCGACTTTGGACTGATATATTAGCAGTGAAAAATAATGGCATTCCATTGGCATTTCTCTGAAATACCCATTCTCCTTCATAGAACATTAAGACTGTTTCTGTAGCAATGTTTAACAAATATAAAATGATATTCTGTCCTTTCTTTTGAAGGAACAACTGAAATTAACTTAAATTTATTCTTACAGCCTATTACAGCTTCTAAGAACACCATGGTCTATATAGCAGGATGCTTCTTTGACAAGTATATGGCTAGTGCTTCTCACAGATGTCAGTTTTGCTCTCATCAACCTTCACATTCAAATCTCTGCGTACAAAAGCATATATGTTTTTAAACCTTTCTTGAACTTTTCCCTTATCCTTTTATACCAAGGTTTATCAACGTGACTTTGTTCCTCAAAGATGCACAGGTTTCCCATATGCAGTTAAATTTAAGTGGCACAAGTTTTAAGTCCTGTCCTTTTAGAAGAAATATTCCCTGTTACCTTTTCTTTTAGAGTATGTCCTTTAGCTGTCATTATGTCAGCTGGAAGCATTTCTCAGATAAGAGTACTCATAAGAACATATTGCATTACACCCCATGATAAACTTGTTCTGTCCATTGCTGCAAAAAAATCTGATTTACCTCAGCACAGTTATATCAGTTGGAAAAAAAAACCCTGCTCCCTGTGAAATACCGTCTCAAGATCCAGAGGGAGCAAGACACCTTTGTTTATGATTGTATGTTCGATGACAGTTTTCGTAAGACTGGGCTATAAAAGAATGCAACTACACCTGAAGACTGCGTAAGCCTTCCACCAACCTCATGGACTTCAAGGTTTCGAGAGTCTTCAGAAGAAATTTGCAGAACAGTTATTTTCATGAACTTCTATTTTTTCTAGTGAACAATATAGGTAATGTGTACACCGCATCCTTGGTGTATCCTGGGAGGGTGACTCCCACATGTGCTCTACCTAACTTGTGCTCACAACAGTACACCAGACCTAGAAATATGATGGTGAAGTTGTTTGGGGCTGCTCACACCAACTGTTTTCAAGGCCTGAGTCTCCCATGTGCTTGAGTAGCTGCTGGGGATACCCCTGATGCAGCTTCACTGCTCACTTCTGAATCTGGTGCATGAAAGCGGGAATGAGTAGATGCACTTGAAGGCATCCCTTCAAGATATGTTGGGGACCCAGTGCAGACAACCCTATAAGACTAATTAGAGCTAGGTGAATTCTTTGTTTTCAGCCAATTATTTTTCAATGAAACATGCATATTCAACAACACAGAAGTGTTTTGCAAACCTGTCTCTGTTTTGTCTGCTTCAGCGCTCTAATGACTTTTCATTCTGACATTCTTGAAAAGGAAACAATATGACTTTTTAAATCAAAATGGCATTTAATTCCTTTCAAAATATTCTTCAATCGTATTTAAAAAAAAGTAAATGCTTAAATCATGAGCCAAGTTTATTTCCTGTTGAACAGAACATTCTGTTTGAGTAATGGAGATTTTTTTAAAAAATTTTTGGTTTATGATTTTTTTTCTTTTTTTGTGGAATTGGCAGCAAATTGCAAAATTTTCATTATTTCTCTCCAACTATATTAAGTCTTTGTAAATCTATGATATTTGGCTTTCTTTTGGTTCAAAATAGGAGTCCCCTGTCATTCAGAGGTAGACTCCTTGTTTGCCACACAGGAGACCTGGGTTCAATTCCCTGATGCTTATACAAATGCTTATGCTTATACAGCCATGGAGGCACCAAATGTCTGGACCTACTCTGGCCTTTAGATTCTGCCTCAGTGGCCTTAAATGGGGGTGGAAGGTCTGGGCAGCTTCCACTTTTCCAAAAACTCCTGCCTAGGCTTATGCATCAAGGGTGTGGGTGACCTCTTGTGCATATCATGATCTGGAAGAATCAACAGTTGCCATGAATGAAGGGTTCTGAATAAGAATTAAGCTCTTTGTATGTAAATACTTTTGATGTTTCAGTGGTTGGCTATTCAATTTCAGCAGAGGTGGTTTAATTTTCTAATTGGTAGCATTTGTTCTGGCCAGATGATTTAAGTACATTAGAAAATTAATTATTTTACTGGCTCCAATGTCTGCTTGAGGAACCCTGTTGTGCCTTCTTCAGAGATGAGAAATGATTTTGCTTTCTTTTTCTATTACAGGTAACACCTAGGAAGTTAGTCTTCTGATAAAATATCACAACGACATGTTAAAATGAATGCATTACACCTAGGGTTTTTTTTTAGGTGAACAAGAATACCATTGACATTGCACTAGGATGACCTTGTCCTGCAAATGCCTGTTTGCTTTGAATCAAAGAAAAAGGAAAGGTATTCAAACATACTAAAATAACATCAGCAATGTTAAATTCCAAATAAATATTTTCTTTCAGATATGGTATTACAGACTTCACTTATCAACTAAGAGGAGGGGATGGACTTACATAGTTTCCTTTTTACTACAAGTCAAAGCTTTCAGACATGGCTATGGAGGGGGTCAAGTCAGATCCATAATTTATTTAGCCAACTAGACTATAGTGCGAATTAAGATTTAAAAAGTCTTTTCCAATATTGCATGATTTAAGGTGGATACATTTTTTCAGTAATAAATGGAAGGAATTATAGGATGAGAAATCAGGTTACTGGTTTTGTCCTTCATGTGTCAAGGTGTTTGAAATGTGTAGCATCTCTGAATGATTTAAGTGTATGATCCCTTGGGCTTTTTACCTTCCTTACAATAATTAAACACTGATGAGAAAGGGAGCCATTTCCTAGTACTAGAGGTGAAGCTGTGCTGCTTATACATTTACATTAAAGACATTTCTGGCTGTATATTTACTTAGTATGCTTCCCTCATAATGATCTGAGACACTTCCATTTACCCTGAGTAAATATCAAACTGATCTTGATATCTATAT